GGGGGAGGGCGAGGGTGGAACACCATAAATAAAGACCCATACGCATATGTTAAATTAAAAAAAAACTTTTTTAGAAACAGGGTCTTGGCTATGTTTCCAGGCTGGAGTGCAGTGGCTATTAACAGGCACAAACATAGTGCTTTGCAGTTTCAAACTCTTGGGCTCATGTGATCTTCCTGCCTTAGCCTCCTTAGTAGCTGGGACTACAGGCGTGTACCACTGTCAACGGAAAAAAGACCAAATTCTGTAAAATAATTTTAGAGAGATTTACTCTGAGCCAAATTTGAGGACCATGACCCGGAGCCACGCCCAAGAGGCCTTGAGCAAGTGGTCTCCCTGTGGCTGGGTTACAGTTTGGTTTTATACATTTCAGGGAGACAGGGGTTACAGGTAAAGTCATAAATCAATATGTGGGAGGCATACATTGGTTTGGCCCGAAAAGGTGGGCCATGTCGAAGTGGGGGCTTACAGGTTATAGGTGGTTTAAAGATTCTTTGGCTTGTAATTGGTTAAAGACATGAAGCTTTGTCTAAAGGCTTGGAATGTTTCAACATAAGGAGTTGTTTATCAGAGATGATGCCCACCAGACATCTATTCGTTGTGTAAATTGAGGACCTGCAGGTTTGTCTTGCATACCCTTAGGCCTGTTAATGGGTTACAAAGGATGTCCCCAAGAAGGGAGGGGGGCATGATGAGGCATGTCTGACCTCCTTCCTCCTGGCAGGTAATTTAGTCTTAGGATATTCCTTTGGTCAGGAGGGGGTCAGTTTAGTCAGCCGGTGGGGGGTGGGGTGAGCCTTAAAATTTTATTTTAGTTCACACCACCTTGCCTGGCTACGTGATAGTTGAATTTTAATGGGAAATATGAGTTAAGATTTGAACATCTGCAGAACATTTGAGATTCCCTCATGACCCATGACAACCTACTTAGTTTTCTTATTGTGTAAATGGATAAAATAATAGCACCTGTCTCATCCGGTTTCTAGGAGAATAAAACAATGACAATAATAGGTAATAGCACTGGTTATGTATCAAGTGCTATTCTAAGTGCCTTCCGTATTTTAACTTAGATTATTCCCATATTACAGATGAGGATTCTAAGGCACAGAGAAGCTAATCAGGTTTCCTAAGGTTATGCAGATTGTGCGTGTTGGACTCGGGATTTAAACTCAGGCAGGTACAGCTCTGGGGCCAGTATCTTCAACCACTTCATAGTCCTGCCTCTGTCCTGCCCCCGATTCTGTACTTAGCACATTAAAAGCCATTAAGAACTGT